GATGAAAACTAAATGTGATTATGGAACTACGAATAAACTAGAGGAACCTCACAAGATGAAATTCAGAATTTCAGTTTAATACTACTAATCCAATACTTTTATGAAATTCTGTTTCTATATTCTCATAATGTTATGTCTCATGACATGTTTCATATCTAAATTCACTTTGGATTTCAAATATCTTATATTATTCTTAAATTATTATCACTTCAATTCCTAACATCTGGAGTGCTCAGATTTAATCTTTTATTTAATCAACAAAGTTATAAATTGTAAAAGTAAGATAGACAAGAATAGACAAATCTTCCAATACACTGAGTCAAACATTTTGCGGGCTCTAGAACGCATTTACTATTTGACTCTGACTTCCAGGACAGACAGAAGTACCTCGTCTGTATTTCTAGCGTTACCGATTGAGTGTAAAACAACATCAAAATGTTTGCAGCTGTTAGACACCGAACCAAATTTTAATATACAATTATAAATAACTTTTAGCGCAATACGCTACTATTTTCATATATGCTACTATTGGCTTAATTATCAAAAATACGAAAAAAATTATATGTAAAAATTATTGGACTTTTTACAAGATTAGTATTTCAGAAACCTGTATCATTTTGTTGTTCTGAAAATAAAAACACAACGACATAATATTAACAATAGCTAAAACTACAATTAAAAAGAATAAAGTTACTAATCCCGAATTAGCTTATATCATTTGCTATGTAACTTTTAATTGTAATTATAATTCATAATTGTAATTAGTAATTATATTTCAAATGTTTGTCCAGGTCTCACTACACGAATACTTGTTACTTTTCATTGATTCTATAAAGATCCCTCGCATGAAATTGAAATTCTTATAAAATCTTTCACAAATCTAAAGAGCTTTTTGGAAATCCTATTTATAAAAATCCATAATTTTCTTTCTGCCAACTAGAGACCTTAAACTTTCCTTTTCATAAATTTCATCAGGTCTATTAAGCGGAACAGACCTATACGAAAATCAAAGTACAATAAAAAAAAAGTAATGAAATATTATATCGAAAGTAATGTGCTATTCCTAGTTACAGGAAGAAATTTTCTATGTAGAAACCAAAATACAATAAAGAGAAGGAATAGGATATCATGTTGGATATGATGCAGGATATGTGTCTCCTTCTGCTAATGTCAAAATAGCTTCTGAAACAAACTAAGAGCACAAAAAATTTAATAAAACACTGCAAAATTACTTTATTACCAATTACCAATAAAAGGATTCAGACATTACTTCCTCATATTTATAATAATGTAATCACTTTCCTTCATCACATTTCTGAGTTACTGCTTCATATTCATGTCTTCATAACTAATAAATATGAAATTTCTCAGCAATAAACCTGGAACAAACTTATTTATTAAATTAATATTACAAAAAATTGACAATTAAAGAAACAAGAAATTAAATAAAAATATCAAAGCATCAAAAAAGTCATTATAAATGAAAAAAATAAAGTTTAATAATGGACATTCACTGATATTTATTTTAAAAAAATGTATAAACTAAATTCATATTCATTTATGTGAATATGAATACCAATACAAAATAGAATTATTTACTAAAATCATTTCAAAATCATAACAGTTATAAATAATACTGTGGCAATTAAATAATATTATTATTAAGAAACAAATATACTTCTGACAACTTATTTTCAATAACAAACACTAAGAATATAAAAAAGTAAGGATATAAAGGATATAAAAAGGATATAGGATAAAGGATGCTGAAAAAGAAAACAAATAAGTAGCCAGAAGAACTACCAAAATATAATCAATATCCACTGAATATAAACCCGAACAATAAACCGACAGTGGAATATCTTTTCAATTTCGCAAAACTAATTTATTTAAATTAGAGACAAAATAGAAATTCTCGAAACAAATCGCGAGAAGTGCTTTATATGTTTGCAATAGTATATACTTTACTACTGAACAGAGTTAAAAAAATACAGAACTCCCGAAAATATAGCAGGACATTTTATTTTCGCAACGCTAATAAATATTACTTTATGCACTCATGTTAAAATATTCGCAACACTAATTACGGGAATCCAGTGCAGATGTAGTGAAGGCTACTGACAACCACCTCTGTGCAGCTTTTAACTGCATCAGGTGATTCAGAAACGTATTTCCACAACCTTAGTGGAACGAGTTTGTTATTAACGCAACACTAATTAAAGAAACGCGACATTTGTTATTAACGCAACACTAAGACAGTAATAGAAACAATCACGATGAAAAAGCAACATTAACTTTCAAAACAAAATTTACTTCACTTACGAAAGAAAACTACTTTAATTCGAGGAAATTAATTCAACAAAGACTTTTAATTATTCGCGATGAAGATAAATGGTAAATTTAAGAAATTTCTAATTTAATTCTAATGTCACTTTATAATAAAAGATACTAGAAAGAATAATGGCGATATTTTAGAATTCGCAACGCTACAGCAAACTTCAATTCAATCTTAAATAAACATTCTCTTACAAATCTAATTCACAACGCGGAATTTTGATTAATTCATAATTCTAACAACCCGCAATTAATTTCTCGAAACACTAATAAAAAATCGCGATTTGCCCAATGTTATGATGGTAGACAGATATTGGCCAAAAAAAAAAAAAAATACTACTATTACATACTACAAATTCTAAAAGTGAGCATAGTGACAAAGTAGTAATAAGAATGACTTCCCATGCTTTAGATGGATTTCCCATCCAGAGGATGACAAGCCATTTGTTGCAGCCCTCTTCTACGGCAGTTTGCCGGGCCTCTTCTTTTCTTCGGGCGCAATGCCCGCTGAAACTTAAATTTAGGCTCGAGTCTTTCTAATCGCAAAACCAAAAAATAACTTATAAAGGTGAAATAAAAAATAAACCGCGGAAGCTGATACCAATACACATGGACGACCATCAATCACAGTGATCGTTGTCCGTTCGCATGTGCGTGCTCGAGCAATACCTATACCAACGTTCGTTTCGGGACCTACTCGCGACCTATCCGCGACCGCGACCGCGACACTAAATTCGAAAAATCGAAGAATAAAATCAGAAACAAATGCCATGCTCAATTTGTACTAATTTCACTGTCGACTTTTCAAATTAGATTTCCAGAAACAGGTTGGACACGCGAAAAGGGGACGCGATCAGAGACTGTGCCAACCTGCTCGGCCCTACCTACTTATAATTAAAACACAGGCATACCAGAAGTAAACTACCTATCCTATTCAGGGCCCCTATATTTAAAAAAATGGCAAAACAAGCACACCAACACACTCACTCCACGATTCTCACACATACACTCGGGCGCGACCTAAACTAGGGAGGACGTCCCGGGACACCTCCGACACCCGAGCTTAGCATACAACATTCACACTCTAATTTACGTACCATTTCCTGAAATCGACTGACAAAGGCTAGTGATCATTGCGTAAAACATAATTAAAACACATTTATATTTACAGCTAATATTAATAACTGAGAAAGAAAATATATAGTTTCTATAGAAATTACACGTGCAAGTTGACTTGGAATCATTATTATAATTGATAGTATAATTATAATAATAATAATGTAATTATTAGACATTACGATAGTATAATTATAATAATAATAATGTATTTATTAGACATTACGATAATAATTTCATAATTTTTTAAATTAATGCATAAATATTTTAAATATTTCAACTTATAACGAATGCAACAATAGAAACGACGCAATTCCACATCCTAACCACACACATACATGCGGAAAATACGTCGTGCACGATACGCTAACACATTGTCAGTCGCTGAGAAATTTTTTATAAAATTACAAACTATGGTCATCGTGCCCAATGTCTTTCACCCACCCAAGTAGCACCTGGGCACGTGAGTGAGATCCTGATAATGAACACGGAAGGGGTTAAACCTGAAAATCCTGAACTAAAAAAATAATTAGTTTATGTAATTTGTATCTAACGGGCTATTGCATTATTTTATTTCAAGCTCTGATGACTTTACTCTTTCAGAAATTATTAAAATTGCAAGATAATAAAGATAATGAACAAGACTTGTGAATTTGTTAAAAAGGATATTGCGAACAATTTAAGAATTTACTCAAACAAGCAAAATCAAACAATTGACTCCAAATTAAATATTAATAGAAATAATCTCAGGCGACTTCTTCATCAAAGCACATTTTCGAAAATACGAAAGCAGTGATCAAACTTGTTACTTTGATTCAAAAATCTACCTGTCGCGAAGTATCTTCTTGCAGATAAAATTTCATACATTTTTTTGCGGAAAAAATTCTAATCTATTATATTTTTAATTCTATAGAAGTTCATAACTGTATATAATTATATTCATAATTATATTCATAATTTATTCAATAATAAATATATATAATTATATTCTATTATAGTTCATAACTATATATAATACTATTATAGACTGAAAGATGAAATTGAAAATTATTAATTATTATGACAAAATATCATCACTAATAAGTAATAACTGCATCTTTCATAGCAACGAAGTCGGAGGGTATCCGTCTTCTCTACTATGAAATGCTCAACCGAAATCATTTTAGTAATAATTATTTATAAATATTTATAATTTAACTACTCATATGGATATTCATATATTTTATCTTTGCGAACATTTATTTATTGAAGATATTTTGTTTCTATAAGTAATTACTATAAATTTAATTGTTAAAATCGCGATATGCAAGAAGCCCTGTCCTCATCTAATACATTAAAAACTTGAAAAAATGTTACTACTCACGGGTATAAAAAATACCCGCGGTCACTATGCTCATCAAAAATTCTACGTATACAACCAGTCACCCGTGCCGATTCGGACCTTTCATCCTACGACATGATTGAGTGACCGGAGGAACATAAATGCATGCGACTCACGCGATAGATGTGAAGAACGTTATCATCAATGCTGCACTGGACCACGAAAAGTTATCGTGAAGATCCTCATCAAGTAGATACCACTGACAATTCCATGATGGAAGTGAACGTCGTAAAAAATTTTCTGAAAGACATCAAACATTTTGTTTCTAAAGACACAGTGTTATATGTGAAAATTTATATCATTTATAAATTTATAATCATAAAAATTGAAACTAATAATTTGAAATGTTTTTATTTTATAATTATAATTTTACATTCAACTTCAATAGAAACTATAGAGAATAAAATTCAAGTACAAGCTAAGATACTTACATTTTTAGTTTTTAAAGCATCATAAGATCCTTAGAAAATTAGGGGAAGTGAAGAGTGTAGAAAATCTGTAATGAAACATTAAACATTAGAATTTATATTTAAAAGTAAAGCAGAATCTTAAGTTGGAGATAATGAAAGATTCTTACTTTTTTGGCTTTAGAGCCACTTTAGAATTTTCCCCCAAAAACGCAAAAACATTTTTGCTGATGTTAAGCGTCTGTAACAAAACTTTGTTGTTAAATTTGAAAAATTTGAATAAATTGAAGTACAATATATAAAACTACTTACGGTCTTGATCTCCTGGAGAGGCCTCATCTTCTTGAGCACTGACTCTAATACCGAAAACAAGTATTGAACAAGAAAAAATATGAAAAAAGAAAAATAAAAGACTATCAACGCGCGCATTTAAGTAACAATCGGCGAACTCACTGGCTCTAACTTCGAATTAAATTTAAATAAATTAATAAGAGCCATTTCGCTCAGACAAGTATTAAAATATTACGCAACAAACACTGGCTTTACCGACCGCATTGCACGCGGTCACAAAAATTTTCTGAAAATAATGAATATGCATGAAAATAATGAAACTTGAATATGTATTGCGTGTTGACGTTCGGAAAAAGTAAATAGCAATTGTAGCAAAGTATAATATAATAAAGTACGAAGACTACTTTGAATTTAATAATCTAATGTATATCCATTTAAAAATAAATATTATTGAGATACTACGATCTCTATATTCTAAATAAAACATTAATTGATTTAATCTTTTCTATTTTCATCCTTTTATCACAAATAATCAAGAAAATATGTATTCTGAATTATATATCAAATATAAATATATAAATTATTTCCAAATGTTTTCCAAAATGAATGAAATGTTGCCGACTTTCCATAAAAGTTCATCAGATTATATATTAATGATCGTGGCGTCTATGTACTCTATGCCATTTTTGCAATCAAGGAAGAGCCTACACAGAAAGAAACCAAAAGTGAGACCAAATGAAGGCAAATGTGTGAAAATAAAACGATAATCAACTTCAAATTCTATTAAAAAAGCGCACGAAACAAACTACTGGTAACCGTATAAATAAAATCGACGACTGAAGAAAAATTGATGCGAAAAATTTCAAAGCACTACACGATTTCGTTGTCGTAATGCTAATTAATCATTCAACACACGTGTATTAATTTAATTATACTATTAATGAGGTATATATGGAAGTAAAAGAATATCGAAGAAGCGACGCTACCGAAGGGACGCCACCGATAGGTTAGAAAAAGTTACGTACTAATGTAACGTAATGTGTGTGTTGTCACAAAATCCAGCAGTCGAATGACTCTCGGCAACACGTCTTACCTTCAATTGAGAAAATGGTAGGGGATGGAGTGATCCTGTCCGAACAGGCACGATAGTCGAAGCGAACATAAACATTGTGTTCGTGTTGTTGTTTTGAATTACGAGCTTCAAGGCCTTCTACGCCTTTCTTTATTTGAGAAGTGAGAAATTTTATTACATTACGCAGTAAACTTATTATTTTAACCATTAAGTACGTACATTCTTAATAATTTATTGTTAAATTTAGTTTTAGAATTATTAGGAATTACGCAGTATGAAGTTATATAATCAACAAATAAATAAATGTTATAATAGAAGCATGTATGTAAACGCATACAATAAAATATTTATGTATATATATATATATATATATATATATATATGATCTGCAATTCTAATACAGCTCGATCAATTTTTTGAAACATTAATAGAAAATCGCGATTTATCCGATATAATGATAAATGTACTATATACTATATACTATATACTACATACTACATACTGCTACTATTATATGTAAATATTACTACTATAAAAACTAAAAGCGAAAATATGGTCAATTTATAAAAATTTTAATTCTAAATGTTCGATGTCAGAATTTCAAATTTGTTTCGTACTAATCAAATATGGCGCATTTCGTCAGTTACCGAAGTTGCGCAGTATTCAAACGACGCGATGCGCAGAACTTGTTTGAACCTGTTTGATGGCGTCTCTTTTCATAAAAAGTTTGCCTTCATTAAAATGAATAAAATATTATCGTACCTTCATGGAAAATCACCGAATCTATATCATAATCGTCATCTTTTGAATTTCAACGGCATTTAATACTGCAAAATCCCCTTCATAATTTATTGTAATCAGCTTTCGAATTCCAGTGGCGTCTAATATTTCGAAATCGTTCTCGTAATCAACCAATAACCTACGCAACAGAAGATAAAAATTTTCAAATAAATGCATAAAAGAAACAAATTATTTAAAAATAATAACAATAAACAAGAAATAATAACAATATACAAGATTAAATGTTATCCTAAGAGCTCATCATACAAACTACCAATAAACGTAGCAATCAAAAACATGATTAAAGAAGAAATGATAATTTAGCAATAAATTATTGAATAATAGCTTACTTTAATTAAACAAAGTTAACAGTAGCAACGAAAGAATAATAATGAAAGAATTACGCAGTTAATAAACGCTACGCGAAGTAACACGTCTTAACGGCTCGACGGTCGACAATAAATAACCTTCCCGCGCATCTAGATTACGTCACGAACTAATTTGATGGGGTGGAGAGAGGAAAGGCATGAACGTATTACAGATCAACTAGAATACAGAAAGAAATTTGAGAGTTTATAAATTATGACGCAATACCTTTTATTAAATTAATTAATTAATTTAATTTAATTTAATTAATCTCTTGGCACAATTAACCTTTTTTTTGCAATTGAAGCGATTAATTTTGAACAAAAATGTTCCATCTATCGGTAAACATTGGTACTAAAATTTCCAAATATTTTTAATCATTAATAACGAATAATTAATAAATTTGTTTCAAAACTGCAGTGCTTGGTTATTAATTTTTATTTTACGATTACAAACGTGTATTATTTCAGTAAAATTCGACTAATTAGCGAATATTCAATAAATTAGAAAAAAGAAATATACCTGTCTTTGTCGTATATTATAATGCTCCTTGTCTAACATCTTTTTTACAGAAAAGGATAGCACTAGTGTGCAACAAGGACAGACATGCTTCTCCGTTTAATTTATTTAATATTCATTAATTATACGACTTCTGAAAGAAATTGGTATACTTTTGGAATCATAAAACAAAGATTAGAGACAGAACAAGACAGAACAAAGACTATCATTTCATATGATTGATACTGTGATGTTTCATAATATAATTTAAACCATACCTAATTAATTTATCAACTGTTATGTATGAATAACAATAGTACAGACTCCAACAAAGTTATAATTAAGTATAATTAATCTTCTGAATGTTCAGCATAAAAAATCGCTGACATACGTTGCAAAATTCTTGACTCTTGCTGAAACAATTGTTAAATATCTATTAAATAACTAATTAACAGATATTCATATTCAAAACTGCATGAAAATATTACTTACAGTTCTTTATTTAATTCCAAAAATATGTGAATTATCGAATTCGAGTTTGAAAATCGAGTAATTAACAATTATTTATTAATATGTTGCTTATGTTATTTTTTGGCAAATTGAGCCCATCCTCTAGATGGCGAAAGCTTTATGCTTCTCCAACACAAAATAAAATTAATTCCATAGTTTTACCGATACGTGGCGTTAGTATTTAAATATCAACAACATAATCAAATTTTCATTTGCAAAAGGAAACTAATTAAAAGAATTAATTTGTGAACTTCTGTGCTTATGTTCATGTCTTACTTTGAATAATTTGTACTTCGAAGCTAGATACTTTCAACTATGTTCACTAGTTTAATTTTAATGTATGTTTTGAATGTACGTTACGAAAAATTAAATATTATTGGAACCAATGTTTCGATCTATTTAGTGAAATACATTGAATGAAATTTCATTGTGATTTTAATTTTACGAAATGAGTTATAAAGTTATTGCTATTAACAGATAAAATAATAGTAATGATACATTTTATACGGCTCTTATCAATGTTGTAAAAGTTCCTTCGTTAAATCTTATCGATTGATTCTGATGTTTCCAAGACAACGATTGCGCCGTTTAGTTGTCCGCAACATCAGTAAAGAAAAAACTTGCGCAAACTTGCATTAATCTCATTAATTTGCCGTTTTATTGACGTTACTAAATAACAATATTTACGCTAAAGAAATTACAATTATGGTACAAAATCAAGTAGGTCAACATGCAAGATCTGCTGTATATCACCAGAACAAACTGAAACCAATGAAAAGTGTTAAGGTATGTCACTTTCCTGTTATCATTGTAATAGGAAATAAGACCTGTAAGTTCTGTTTTACATCTAAATATAAAATCATATTTCTCTAAGGACTTTTTATTAATTTTTATAATTTTGAAATTTCTTTGTTAGATACCAAAAGATACTGTAGAAACAATGACTTCAAAAAGTTCTCCACATTCAGTTTCCAAATTTCCTTTACTCGCGGAAGAGGAAACAAAGAATGTTGTAAAGGAAAAGAATGATGTAAAGTCAAAAGAAGAGCAAAATGAAGAAAAAATAATTTCCGCCAAAGAAGTAGAATTCTTTTTTTACTTCTATAGAATTAGATATTAATTTGAATAATAATTATTTAGTAATTTTGTAATAATAATTACAGTAATAGTGGTAATAAATTACTTCAGTAACATTTTAGTAAAAGCTTCTTTAATCGGGTACTAAATTATTATAAACTGATGATCTTAAATTTAATAGTAAATTTATTTCATAACAGGTTATCAAAAGAAAAAGAAAAGAGGAACGTTTAGCGAAGAAAAAGAAAGAAGAAGAAGAAAGAGAAAGATTCGTAAAAGAAGCTGCCGAACGAAAGGCAGCAGAGAAAGAAGAAATAATTAAACAAGCGAAAAGATTTATTCTTTACAGAAAACCAATGTGTAGACGAATTAATCAAGGTCTTCTCATTTCTGAGGTAATTAAAAACGATCTAGAATTTAGAGAATAGAAATAGCACAAATGATTAAAAAAATTCAATAAATATTTCATAAAAGTAATATTATCATAAATACAAAAATTTCATTAACTTTTCATTAAAAATATGTTATTAAAACTGTTATTAAAATATGTTATTAATATTTCTTATTAAAAATATGTTGTAATATTAGATTTGGAATTTTTTTATGATTTCATTAGTGCTATAGAGAATTGGACGCTCAACTAAAATTTCGAGAAACTCTTAAAAATATAGATAAAGAGGAGGCTATTGCATACATGAATTCGATAAAAAAGGATGTAGTAAAGTTCGAAGAAAAAATGAAACAGCAGATGGAGGATCAGTTGGAGAAAAAGAAGTGTTACGCTACTGAATTAAAGAAACAGTAAGTGTTCATATCACTGTAGATCGTTTTATTTTTATAGAATAATGTAGTTTCTTGGCGTTGTTAGAATTGAAGAGACTAAGAATGCTGCAGCAGCAAAAGAAAGAGAGGAATTCGAAGCAGAAAAACAAGATCAAGCGAATATGATAAAATATTTGCAAGATATAAAAGAATACGAAGCACAACAAGTTAGTCTTTGATAATTCATATAATATTAATTGTTACAACCAATAAGTTATTTTTTTAGTTGCAAAACAAAAAGCAGAAATTAAAGCAATTCTTTAAAGACGCAATCGATGAGAAGAAACAATTCGATTTAGAGCTTAAGCACGAAGAAGAATTCGAGGATCGAGCATATGAAATTTATCGAAATGCAAAGTTACGAATACAAAAGCTCCACAAAGCGGTGAAACTGAAGGAAAAAGAAGAAAGAGAACAGAGAATACAAATAATCAGTAATTGTGTTTTATACGGATTTATATGCATTTATTGAAAATTTGAAATGCTCAGAACATGAGAAACTACCCAATTATAATATTTAGTAAATGAAATAAATTTCTAGTTTTGTTTGTTTATGAAAATGCATAAAAATTCGCAGTCTAATAGTAAACTAATAAATGATTACATTTTATTCAAGTTTAATTATTTTAACAGCTGAAAGATATAGTGAGCTCTTAAAGTCAAAAGTAGATATGGGAGAACAACTATTGAAAAAAGCTCAGCAAGAGCAAGAGGAACAGTACCAAGAAAAGCAAAGAATACGAAAAGAACGTGAGAATCAAATGCGAAAGGAATTGCAAGATTATCAATTAGAAGTGCTAGCTACGAAAGCGAAACAAGCTCAAGAGGAAAGAGATATGAAAACGTGGGAAACTATGCAGAGATTCAAGAGGTCTGAATGTGATGAGAAATATAGAGACGAGGAACGAAAGAAAAATAGGGATAAAAAGATAGAATATGGAAACGAAATCAAAAGATATATCGTAAGTTTGAGAAAACGTTTTACACTGTTAATACTCATTTCTCTTATATAATATTAATAGTTCAATTTTCTATAATTTAAAGAAATTGAAGTTACTTGTAACAACACACTAAACCATTGCTTGACCCTTGATTGATTTGAACAAAGCTTTATGTATTTTCAGAATGAGAGAATAGCGGAGCGAATAGAAGAGAAACTTAGCGAAGAAAAAGCTGCAGATGTAACGAAAATTATTGAAAAAGAAAATCAAAAGGTTCTTAATTATGCGGAAGAGATCATAAATGAATCTAAAGACGTGAGACCACTTTATCCAATTCTTAAAGCTGCGGAGGTATATGAAATTATATTTCATAATAATTAATGTGAACTTTTTTTGCCTTAAATTAACTATGATATTTCGAATGACAGGAGTGCAAACGTGAAATGGGTTTAATACAACCTAAGAAAAAAGGAGAAACAATTATTGAAAAACCTAAAAGAAAACGAAGAATGCGTAGATGTACAAAATTTATCCCCGAGGATAAGATTTGTTATTTATAGTAGCAAAAATGGAGGAAAATGTTCATTGTAACTGTTTTACCAATATAAAAGAATTCTAGTGCTTCATTCTATTACTATTAAAATTTTAATATCAAATTTAATCTCGAAAAGTTACATCTGAAACACATTCACTTTAACGACACATATAATGTAATATTTAATAAGAAAATTAAACTTATTTTATATATTGTGCGTATGTAATGTCAAATACTTTTTAAATATTATAAAATTTTTTAATGTTAATGCAACATATTCACAAGTTAAATAAATTAAATAATATATTACTCAAAATAGAAGAGGAATAAATGTTCGTCATTTAATCTCTCATTAAAACCCTAAATAATTCCTAAAAAATAGGATAATTTGAAATTTTGACTGAAAATAACGGTCTTCTATTATTTATTGTTATAATTTCGGTATGTGTATTTCATATCGATATTTGTTCAAATTATATCTGCTAAAAAAGCATACTTTATATCTAATTATTAATTTATTTTATATCTAATTTCAAAATATAAGCCTGATGAATTTTAAGATTAAGATCAATTTTCCGATCTATCTATTTAATAAACCAAACGAATAATCTATCAGAATACTTGCAGAAACATATACTTTTCTTACACCCTGTACAATATATTATTTAACTCTTGGAATCGAATGTCATATTGTTACTGTGGTATGGACCACGTTTCTGATAACTTATCATACATGTCACTCTAATGCTAATGATAGGTTGACGTTATAAATATATTTTCATTTTTGTATACATTTATATTTGTATTATTATACATCTGCTCTTTTGCAACTTTTGGTCTTAAGAAATTTCGACAATATATTTTTGAGAAATATTAGACGAGGACTGAAAAAATATTTAAAATGTCTGATAAAGAGCCAGAGGAAAAGAAAAAGAAGCCTTTACCTCCTTTGTTTAATTTTATAAATGCTGGCCTTTCGGGGTATGTTAGTATAATTTTAAATATTCTATTCTTTATTGCCACTTTATTTTATCTTTTACATATCTCTGAAAGTAAAATATAAAATGACATAAACAAATGATATCGTAATAAAAAATGGCGAATTATTAAATATTTAAACTAAATTTAATTAATAATTAAATTTAATTTTGCATTACACAAATTTAATAGATCAAAGAATCTTATCTTTTAATGTTTAATCATAAAATTTATTCAATTCATTGTTCATTCATTTTTCAGAATAATTTAATTTTTCAGAGTTATGTAATCTTAGTGGCTTTGTAATGCAAATTTTCCAGGATGGCAGCGACATGTTTTGTTCATCCTATGGATGTAATAAAGAATCGAATTCAAATACAAAGAGAAAAAATTTCGGTCGGCAAAGTTATCACCTCCATATATAAAGATGAGGGCATTCTCAAATTTTATTCTGGACTTAGTGCTGGTCTTGTACGACAGGCAACCTATACCACTGTAAGGCTTGGTATATACAATCAACTACAAGAATACTGGAAGTAAGTTCAAATTAGAGTTTCTTTTAAAAATAATACGATCAAAATTAAGAACTACGTTTTATTCTTACGTATTTTTAAATTCATGTACTTTCAGGCAGAATTACGTGGGCAAACCTAATTTTGGTGTACTATCACTGATGGCAGCTACAGCAGGATCTATAGGAGCTTTTGTTGGTACACCAGCGGAAGTAGCCCTTGTAAGAATGACAGCTGATGGCAGATTACCACCAGGTTATTATTATTTATCATTTAATTATATTTCACGTATTTTAATATCTCTTTTGATTCCTTTCTTATACCTACAACAATTCGTTATTTTGATATTACATTTTATACAGAGCAACGGAGGAATTACAAAAACGTGTTCAACGCATTTACAAGGATATCTCGAGAAGAAGGAGTCACCACTCTTTGGAGGGGAAGTGTAGCAACGATGGGACGAGCGGTGGTTGTTAATGTGTCACAACTTGCAACTTATAGTCAAGCCAAATTTTTAATATCTTCAAAAAGTATCTATCCTATATTTCGCTTTTCTTCACTTTTTATGGAATTATTTTAAAAGCATATAGTTGTAAAAAATAGTTAGAAAGAAACGATAGAATAATTAGCTTAAAAATATTATATTACAAACTTTAAATGTTATCTACTTACAAGATTTTATATAAAATATATGCATATAATATATGGAAGTATCAGATACATTTTATTTCACAGTGCGTATACCGGAAGGTATTGGTCTACACTTCTCTGCATCAATGTTATCTGGATTCCTCACTACCTTCAATTCTATGCCATTCGATGTAACTAAAACAAGGTGAAATAATATTAACTTTCTTATTCATAAATTATTTTAATATTATGATATTGAACTAGCATTTCTAAAGCAATTTTTATGACATACTTTCAGAATACAAAATTTAAAAGACGTAGGAAAACCACCTGGTATGATCATAATGTTAATGTCGATAGCAAGATCTGAAGGTATAAAGGCACTCTGGAAAGGTTTCTGGCCTACGTATTGTAGAGTAGGCCCACATACGGTACTAACGCTTCTAATTAATGAACAAATCGTCAAACTATACAGACTATACGCGACATAAGTGTATAACAAAGGTAGGGAAATTTTAATGACTGTTTTCTTATATATATATGTGTTTGTTATGCATATATAATTATACGTATTGTATTGTATTGTATCATATTATTGTACTGTATTGAACTATATATGAATCTTTTGTAACAGATATTTAAGTGACATGTACGACAAAATTTATACATTTATAAATAAAGTATATTTACAATTACGTTTACTTAGTTATTTGTTTACAATTCTCTAATAATGACTAAGATAATGCTTCTAAACACATTTTAATACTTCTTCTGTTAATTCGCTAATTAAAAATTGTATTCATACTTTATTATTATTTTATTTATATCCATAATTAAAAATTATTAGCTTTTATCATTTATATATTATTCGATTGTCATAGATTTATATCCTTAATTTTATCATAAAAAAAAGGTGCAAATAACAGAAAATTCAAGATAAATTTGCAAAAGTAATGCTAATTTATATTTTCTTGTATGTATAGTAATATTTTAACTTGACATAGTATCATCATTAAAATTAATTTGTACATTATCAAATGATGAATTCAATTTCCATAATCTATTATCTCCTTCATATCATAAATGATTGAAGTAAATTTTTAGTATAAAAAAGATTTATTAAAACTCACTCATGCTGGTGAGAAAAATTTAAGATACATTTCTCTCAATTTATCGACGCACACCATGGTAACCACAGCATGTGGAGCTGCTCTACTATAAGTTGGCAAAAACCCACGCCACAGTGATGATATTCCTTCAGTTTTTATTATGGTAATAATTGCAGTAATAATTCCTGGTGGTTTCGATGGTAAAGTCCAACTTTGTATTCTGTCATATATAATTGTAGATGAGAATGTCAATCAAAATCATTGTATTAATTTATTAAAATCCCGGCAATTACCTAGTTTTAGCTACATCCACAGGGAGTGATGTTACAGTCACTACAAATCCAGATATCATCGCTGAACAAAATGATAATAATACGCCTTCTTCAAGTAAACCTATTGTTGATTGAATTTATTTAATTTCAAAAATTCATTTTATTTTTCAAGATTCTGAATAATTTAACAACGTTGATCACCAATAATCATTACGACAGTCAATACCTGTATCTTTCCACATCATTTTCGCTCTACTGTAAGTGCCTAACTGTGCTCCATTCACAATCGCTGCTCTGGTCATTGTTGGCACAGCTCCTCTCCACAATCCCCGAATACCTTCTGTTTTTCCAATGTCCATTAATCCGTGAAAGACATTTCTGTAATTTCGTCGCTTTTCTAAAAATATTCGTTCTTTGATTTTGTATCTTTTTATAATTGTAAATCCAAATTACGTAAATCGTTACCACTTCATATAACTAAAATAAAAATAAAATTAACCAAAATATATACTCACCAGGTGGTAAGCGTATATCACCTATCATACGAACTAGAACCAAATCGGCCGGCGTTCCAACAAATGAACCACAAATACCAGAGAACATTCCGATGCAGACCATTGTAGGATAATTTAAACGGCCAAAATACATTCTAAATCATATATTTGACTTTTACTTGTAAACTTACAAATATATTATATTTTAATATTAAGATTTTCTTATTGTTTGAACATATTAGCATTTCCATCAAATTTGCATTAATATTTCCAACTCAACATATCCAACTCAATACCACTTGTAATTAGTCCTTAAAACATATACATACTTGAAAAACAAAGTGAGATAATTTCATATTATTTTTAAAATATTTTCTATTTGCAATAATTTTGTTAAACAAAATTAAACGAAATATTATTATATTTAATGATTTAATGTTTTGAAAATTCAATAGAGCGGACTTCTTGGTAATTATTATTTAATTAAATTTGAATGAAAGTATGCTTACGTGGCCAAATCATATAATGTATTATATATTCCAAGTCTTGCCGTAGTATATGTTAATTGTCGTACTATGCCTGCAGTCCAGCCGATATAAAATCCTTGCATTCCATGTTCTCTAAAAGTATTGTATATTGTCTCTTTCAAGGGAGTTCTCAAGATTTGCATTCGTACCTTAGTTGAATCCATGGGATGCGATGCAGTTACTGCCACGCAACTGTATGATCATGTAATTTTGTTTTTTACATATTGTTACATGAACATAAGATAAAAGACAGTTTGAAAAAAATAAATTTAATTACTATTTCCTAAAGTTTGTAAAATAGATCCAAAGTAAATTAATTTCGCAATTATGTTTAAAATAAAAAATAAATTTGCAAAATTACCTAAATTAAAATATTGGAAACTTTTGAATAAGGAATTACATATATTCGTTAATATTTTACCCTGATATTCCTCCAATAATGAAGTTGACATAAGGAGGCAGTGTTCTATCCTGACTAATTAGGAATAACATTGAACCATAGTTTGATATCACACTTTTGGGAAATTAAAGAAAATATTATATCAAATCATACTCAAATTTAGTTACATGTGATATTTGATTTCTACGTCTACGATTTCTAGCTCTTGAACATAGCATCTTTTGAAAATTAAAACCAATAACTTCGTATTTCATTGCAATGCGATTAATAACAAATTCTTTAATAACAGTTTCGAATTTCTAAAAATTAAAATAGAGAATTACAAAGTATCAAGTTAAAAATTTATTATATTTTACATCATTGACACAAAAAATAATAAAATCGACAGATACGTACATATAACAATTTAAGAAGTTGACAAGCACTTATCAGTAGCTACGTTTTTATAATCAAGAGAGAGTTTCGAAAAGAAATCAATGAGAGTTGGTAAATTCGTTTCTGACTTTACTCTCGATCTCTTCAGCAGAGTTTCATGCAATTTCGTCAGATTGTCACGTACCATTTTTAACGTAGTGATCATAGCAGAACTAACGGCAACCATTTTACCGAAATTTCGAATTTCACCATCGTGTAATATTATACTAGATCCTTGTCGTTTTTTTCTATCATATTCGATCTGTAAATAAATAATTTATTAAAGATCACACGACATCGCAAACAGCGAGTTGGCAAGTTCTGTTGAGAATTTACAATCACTAAAAATCATGTGGCAAATGATTTTCTTGCAAAGAAATTTCTTAACAATTTTTTAAAAGATAATAAACGAACATACATCACACTCCTCGAATAAATTTTTAAGGTCTGGCCACCGATATGTTGGAAATTTACTGTGATGTAATTGAGTAATTGTGACCGCATATCTTTTCACAGTTTCATTCCATTCAGGTGTCCGTTCTATAAACAAGAAAGATGATCTTCTTCTTTCCAGGCGTGGGTCTATTGAAATATCGGCGATAAAGTGGTCACTCTCAACACTGTTTAGATATAAAACAACAATTTTCAATACTTCCGTTTTTAATTAAAAACTTTTTTTGAAAGAACATTTTATAAGTAAAATATTTTACTTATAAAATTGATTGTTACTATATTTTATTTCAAAATTTAAAAAATTCTTAATTTACTCATAATCTCCTCCGATCGCGAATTTCATCCAATCAATGTAACTTTGGGCGTACGAATAATAAGGAAATATATTCAATAACAATACCACCAGTTTTTCCTCTTGCTCATGTAAATAACAATAGCATTCAATGCTTAAATAACCGAAAAATCCTGCATCTTGTATTTTTCTGGCAAATTTATTCACTGTTGGTTGTATCTTGGTAATGTCCAATGAAGTTTGAGGTAACATGTAAATGGTCGTCGAATAGGCAGCTTCTGTTATTGAAATATGTAATCACGAATATAAATTTAAGCTAATAAGATGAATAAAATATAGTACCTAAATTTATTTTATCCACGGTTCCCAACCATATCGGTTTCTTCTTAGTCGCTTTTCCAGGAACAAACAAAGAAACCATAATCGTCTTGGGATTCTTTTCCGCCGGGATAGCCTGCAGCAGACACCCGAATTTTTGCATATGAGTATAGAACATCTCCCAAGTATTATACATCTTCGACACTCGAATCACGTTGGGTATGACTTTCGGCAGATGGTCCTTCACTTTCTGAAGGAATTCCTCTCTCAAACTTGGTTGCTCCATCCAATAATCACCATGTTTCTCTCGTTCACGCCTCAACATCGGCATAAATGGCATACTAATATGATTAATCAAAAAAATTGCACTGTGCTTTCTAGCAGTACCATAGTTCAATTTGATAAGCCACATACTAATCTCAGTATGAAGCACCAGCAACTCAGATAGAGACGTGCAAAGAGTTTCATAGTCTGTTATGTTCTTTTTATGCGGTGGCTGTAAAAGGCCAAGATTGTCTATCATTTCAGATATGTCTGAAGCGTTTACAAATTTTTTTTGCACCTCCATGTCAGTGCTTAACAGAGGAATATTGAAACTTCCAGCCAACCTCATGTCGCATTCGTCGACAAAGTATGGCACAAAATAAGCAGACTTGCCAGCGATTTTCTTCTCAATTTCAGTGAGCGATTCTTGAGAACAGTGAAGGATCCTAGAAACGTTTAAAGATAGTTTATTGAAAGTGTCCGCTTGTGAAAGTGCGATGAAGGTAATCCGTTTCGCCACGTCTTCGTCGGGCGATATCGACTCAATAAAGTCGCTGTACATCAGTAGTAAATCTTGAGTAGGCTTCACGGGGAGAATGTAAACTACTTCAGCTTTTGGATTGCGCACGGAACATATTCGAAAGATTGTGATGTTCTGGTAAATCGCAAACATCTTTGGATTGAACACTCGACGTAATTCCGGAGGAAGACCGAGGGATGGTAGATGCAAGATCACATGAGGCTGTTCGATTATAGAGTCGTACTCATTGCTTAACTTTAGAGCAAGGTCTCGAGTAGCTTGCAAAGAGACGAGCATTTTCTTGAGATAACGCCGGTGCATTTCTTTTCTTGCCCTTACTGACAACCAAAAGAACCACATAAGACTCGCAGCTATGTAAAGACGATTCGAGTGCCATTTCTTTTTCCGTAGCTACGTAGAACAGATTTACATATCAGTATTTTGTGTGTAAATGTCTTTGAAATCTTTCTATGAAGGTTTTCAGAAATCAACTTTTTAATGATTAGCAAAAAATTAATTTATCACTATTAAGAAGCTATGATACATATTTACCCAATAACCACGCCAGAAAGCTTGTATCACTGTCGCAGCTATGTTTTTGCCATCTATCATCTTGAACTGAAATTTCCAACTGGTCAACCAAGTATCATCATTTTTATATTTCAACAGAGGAATTATATCTGCCCTCGACAGTGTGAAACTCGCGAAATTCGTAATCCTTGATAAAAAGTTGAAAGTGGCACGCGGATTCAAGCGCAGTAGCGGTACCGCGCGTCTAGTTAAAATTTTCTCGATCTGGGGGCAAAGCACTAAATGCCACCTCGATTCATTAAGATTCCCATGAACGTCTAAAATCTTCATCCAAGTGTCGTTAGTCTTGAACTTTCCGTCAATGAATTTCAAGCTTTTTAATTTCAATAATTCATCGGTGTGCGAAAAAACGCGGGAAGCTTCCCTGTGCTTAAGAAGTTGAAGGAAATCCTTAGTCTCCAACGATAATCGAATACTCGCTCGATATTTGCCGTTGGCAGTGTCATGAATGATATCGTGACCGCTTTTACTAGAAGAAGATCAATCTTTTATTAAATAGAACAACATTCCAAGTTTATCTCTTCAATTTTCAAAAGATCTCCAAAAACTCGGTGAATGCGATAAAGAAAATACTAAATAGAACTAAGGAAGTTACCTACAAGTTAGTTCGTTTCCTCGGTAAGGAGAACATACGCGATCTAAGACAAAGGATTTCTTGTATGAAATTCAAGTCATGCTCATCGAACTCGGTTCGCCCGATTACTCTTGGTTTGGCCAGGATATCCTGAGTATCATCGAGATCCCATTCGAGTTTATTCTCCCAAAAACAGCGACAGGATTCCTGCTCTGCTTCGTCGAACACGTCGCAATATGTACGAAAAGATTTCCTTATTTCCTCCGGAGATAAGTAAAACGGTGGTTGTGTACGATCTTTCGTTGCCGTTAATAAATCGATATTCAAACGCACGAAACATTCCTCGCATGTTCGCTCAATATTTATAAGTTCCTCCAAAATGTACTCGTAGAACAATCGTGTGGATTCCAAAGAATTAGAATCGTCAGTCTTCTCCATTCTATCCGCAAAAAAATGAAAGACAAAGATAATTAACAAATGGCTAAGATATCAATACTGTGTTAAAAAGCTAAGATGATATTTATACATGAATGAAAATGTTTGAGCATTTAATTTCTTTTCCCTTGAATTTACAATTTCGTGTTATTGTGTACGAGAAAAAAGGAAAACTAAAAGGCTTTGAACTTCAAATTTCGATCTAAATTTCAGGCGTCAGGTTAAACTTTGCTCATTGCGAACCAACCTGCTGAGTCTAGTTATATCTCTTTTGCGATCACCGATGAATTTTTGTATCGGTTTAATTTGTCCTTGTAATTCTCTGATAGCGGATTTTATCATGTCTATAGATTCAGAATACAATTCTTCAGTTTGCAATAATTTATGATGACGATTCATTGTAATGGTTTAGAGAATAAGAATAAGAAGTCCTGACATAGACAATGTTTCGCTCTAAAAATAATCATTTAAGACAAACGTAAATGTTACAACGTTTTAACAGAGTCTTCTCTATTTTATAATGATTTCGTTTTACACTTAAAATTATATGATAAAATATACATTGATATGATCGTTCTAAAATGTAGTCACTGCACTCATCGAAATTCAAACTTATCAATTATCGTTATAATCACATTACGACATATTGGTACGTCATCTTAATGATGTGGAACCTGTTTCCATATGTCAAATGTAACATATATCTTAATTTTCTTTCTTTTATTTTTCAATTGTATTTCTTCGTAAAAAAATCAACACGATTGTAAATTATTATTAACTTAACTATTGAACGCATGACATTTAACGAATAACGAAGATGGCGCTCATTTTGATTTATCTATATATTTGTAAAGTGCTCGGTTGACATGCGAAGAGGTTATATTTCTTCGTATTAACTCGTACTCGCATTGCCTACAAACGCGTTGCGAAAAGATATTTAATGATAATTTCGACGCGAAAAACACGTAGAGATATAAAGGCGACGGTGTATGAAACTGAAGTTCATACCTAGAAACCATTATTGAAATTTTGCAATCTATGACAGTGGATTGTCAAAGTATGTTGTTATACGGTGTTTTCATGTAACTGAAATGTTTTGTATTTTGCCTTTGTTGATGTAATTCAGTGCATTTACAAGTTACCTCTGTTGTAGTTTATACACAATTTTATACACCAAGAATTATAACAGATGTAACCTATGATATGAAATCGTTAAAAACAAGTTGCTAATATATATGTTAAGATAGAAATAAAAAAATATTGCTTTAACTTATATTGGAACTTCAGTTGTAATAATTAAGTGTGCGTTTCTAGAAATTTAAAGCGAGGCAATGGGTACGACACCAAGTCGATACGATGATCTATCAAAAAATGTTTATCTGGAAAGGTTTTGTGGGAAAAAGAGTATTCTTCCAAATGATCCATTTTGGAATACATTTTTATCTTACAATATGAGACCACCTGTTACAAGGAGTGACCAGATAGAACTAGACTCTCGACTGGATTCCTCGTGCCAACAGTTGTTGGCTAATAATTTAGCCACTGGCAACTTTGGTAGTCTGATACAAGTTGCTCTTATACGTGCCAGTAATTTACTTGCATCAATGCAGAATCAAAAGTATGTGAGTTTTATTGCTATATTTTACATGTAGGATTATAAAAGTAATTTATTGTTCATGTTATATTTAATTATATTTCGTAGAATCATATCGGCCTGGCAGACTTACAATGCATTATTTACAGTAAGATGTATATTGAAATATTTAATTGAAACAGTGGGTGAAGAAGAAATGATAAAACATATAGAAGCACCACAGTTGCCAGTGCCAACGCAATCTAATTCATCTTATAGATTAAAAGATCTTTTTGAAGCATTAGTTGATATCATAACAGATGTGCCATTGTGGTGAGTAAATTATGATAATTTTATATTATTTCATTAATTTAACAGTATTTTAAAATGATAAGTGATTTATAAAATTTTATTTTACAGTGAGTTCACATATGTGGTTCATCTAGAAGCTATAAATTGCTTACTCGTATTACTTTCTGTACAACTTTTTTCACAAACTGCAGCTGAATACAGTTGTATCTATAGAATAGCAATGCATTCGCATTCTAGCGAACATGCACCAGCAATGGTGTGTACATTGCTGCATAATTTTGTGCAACAAGAACATGCTCCTCCTGGTTTACTTACCCAGCAACCAGGAGGAAGTATTGTTTTTAGTCTAGCAGGTATGTTTAGCAATACTTCTGTATTAGAATAGAATATTTTTTTCATAAAAATATTTATGTTTATAAACATTTTAGCTGGATTGTGGAATGTAATTACAATGGGTATCGGTAGTAGTTTAAAACATGTACAAGTTACAAGTAATGGTACTTCTGAAGAAGAAGAACGAAAACGTGATACAGAAACACCTCTTGCTAGTCAATCATTATTACTCCTATTGGTATTAACAAATCATTGTACTGCAACTCAAAATCCTTATAGGAATGCACTTTTTACATTTGTTGATATGCAAGGTTAGCAATTTAATGAATCTCTACGTTAACTTTCAAATATTGAATAATATAAGAAATCTGTATAAATTCATGAATATTCTGCTATTAATTAATTCTGAAATAATTATATATTTTTTAGAAGACTATACCACAATGCAAGCAAAAGGCGCATTTAGGTTTAATTTAAATAAATTGTACAATACCATATGTAAAATACCAAATACAGATGAAGTTACATTATTATTATACATGTTGCTCCATAGGAATTCAAGTGTAAAACAAAATATCATGAGAAGAGCAGATATACAACTATTGGTGAATGCAAACTTAATTTATTAATCATTTAAAGTATTATGAGTTTAAAATGTATTATATAGAATTTTATTTTGCAGGTAATACCAATACTTCAAATATTGTATCATGCTCCAAACAATACATCACATCATATTTATATGTCTCTTATTATTCTTTTAATTTTAAGTGAAGATGAAACATTTAACAAGAGAATACATGAAATAGTACGTATTTTAAAATACTGTATGGAGATATATGAAATTTTAAATAATTAATGATAATTATTAATTTTCAGATGCTTAAGGGTGTGAGTTGGTATACAGAAAGATCGATAAGTGAAATATCATTAGGAGGTCTTTTAATTCTTGTTGTTATAAGAACCATACAATATAATATGTTCAAAATGAGGGTAAAGTAGACATAAATATGATGAGAAATTAATTTGAAGCTATTCTGAGTAATAATATGTTTATATATTTTCACAGGATAAATATCTCCATACAAATTGTTTAGCAGCTTTGGCAAATATGTCAGCACAGTTTACATCTTTACATCCATATGTTAGTCAAAGATTATTGAGTTTGTTTGAAACTCTTGCAAAAAAGCATGCTAGATTAGAAACAAAAATACGCACGCAACCTTCTGTTTCTTCTGACAGTACTACTATTACAGTCAATGGAACAACGGCAAACACAGATTTAGTAAGATTTTGCAATAATTTGTAATAAATAATTTATACTGAATAATAATCACATACTACATTTCAGATCCAAGACTTAACAATACTGGAAGAAGTTTTACGAATGGTACTAGAGATCATAAATAGTTGTTTAACTCATAGACTCGCACATAATCCAAACTTAATATATACTCTTTTATATAAAAAAGATATTTTTCAACCATTTAGGATGCATTCAGCATTTCAAGACATTGTGCAGAACATAGATTCTGTAAGTAAATATAGATTCTCTAAAAAATTTTATATTTTTTGATTTCGAATTATATAACATAATTTCTAAATTGTATCCATCAGGTCATAAATTTTTTCTCTTATAAATTGGAACAAAAAGATCAATCACAACTTGGTGTGAGCCAAGTATTAAGTACAATTCAGCAAGGTACTAGTGAATGGCCACGTGACCGCTTAAGGGTATGTTTCATCTATATTTAATATGTGAAAATATATCAAATAAATTCAACTATTTTTTTTTATACATGCATACTATAGTGAACATTCGTTTAATTTTATTATTTAATTTGCCTGTGCATTATATAGAAATTTCCAGAATTAAAATTTAAATATGTGGAAGAGGAACAACCAGAAGAATTCTTTATTCCTTATGTATGGAGTGTCGTGTGTCAAAGTGCTCTCTTACATTGGAATGCTCATACTGGTGAACAAACAACGATTATCGTTTGCTGATACTGAGACAAAAGCTGCTATTTGCAGTAAACATATGCAATAGAAGACAAGTAAGAAGTATTGAAAGTGGTATTTCTTCATGAAATATTTATTTGATACAAAAAAAAATCAATATATATATTGTTTATTGTAAAAGTAATCAAAGCAAGAGAATAGAGACTACTCTAAAACAATATATATTCATTTTATGTCCGAAATCGATTTGTTAGTACTTATCTCTTGCCTTTGTTATTATTTCACTCAATCACATTAATTTTTTAAAATAACACCAATTTGTTCAAACAACTATTATCTAAATTTAATCGTTAACTAAAATAACATTATGAAATCGTGGAATGTTTTAAGATTTGTTTTCATATGCATAAGCCTAATTAATGATATTATTTACGTTAATTATAAATAATACTACTTAATTCATTCATTGTACAATAATGAAATTGGCTTAACATCGTAAAATTATGTATTGTTAAGAATGGTTTGCAACTTATCATTTTATAAAAGTTACATTATTGTTTAAATTAAATATCATTAATGAATAAAAATGTCTAAATATTCAACTGGAGCGTCATAAAAATTCACACCATGGGTAAGAGTGAAACGTAAACATTTTATATCATTCACAAAAGAATATAAATTAGATATTAAAATTTCCAGTTGGATATTCATGCTAAACAACATTTTCGACATATTATTAAAATTTTTTGTAATAAAAATGATAAGGGAAAATTTTAAGTAAATTGTGTTTAAAAAAAAAGATACCTAACTCTGTTATTTATTATAATCTCCGCTTTTTAAAAAATTATAAAAAATGATTTCTAAACATTATATTGTAAATGTTAAAAGTGATTTCAAAGCTGAAATTTAATAATACTATATAATTTGACTTGTAAGAGATGTGAACGTTGTAGATTATTATTTATATCACGAAACTGTCTAGTTACATTTTGTTTATCATATTTAATTGTAAATATAAGCACATAAAGCAAAATATTGTATGGAAACTATTTAATGAAAATTAAAAAATGGCATAGTATAATTGCATTTGTATACACTTGCAATCAATGCTGTTAATGTTGAAAATGATTTTAATTTAATAATATATATATATATATATATATATATATATATATATATATATATATATATATATACATATATTATATACTTCGGTAATATCAATATGCTTTCGTATTTATAATAATTTACGCGCGACTACAATGGATACACGGTACACACACACGCGCAAACATACACACACACACGTTCTCTTTCTCTCTCTCTTCATCCGTCGTTTCGTTGACGTTGTGCTCCTGCCCACCCAGTTCGATGCATCCCCAGTTTTATTCAATCATTCGCCCGCGTGAAATTTGTTCTCCGCGCTCGCCGCGTCGATGTCGCCTGGCAATCGGCCGATCCGATTTCGAGCTACGTTTTCTTCTTCCATTCTGTCTCTCTTTCAGAAATACATATACACACACACACACACACACACACACACACTCTCTCTCTCTCTCTCTCTCTCTTTCTCTCTGTGTTTCTTTTTATTGCTCCGATAGTGTGACTCGGCCGCGATTTTCCCTCGCGGTCCGTCGAGATAGATCGACCGGATGAAAGTGTGTGACGAACGAAACGCAGTGTGGAATGCATCGAGAAGAACGTAACGGCTCGAGGAAACGACAAGCGGACGTTTGTCCAATGCTCCTCCATTTTCTTTCCTCTTCTTCTTCTTCCTCCTTTTCTTCCTCTTCCGTGAGAAACAAAAGAAGTCGGAGGCGAAGCTCTCTCTTTTTCTGTTCTATCTTGCGCGTCAGTTTCGATAGGTGCAGACCACGTTTTTTGTGTCCTCGTTTCGAGGCGTGCCGGGCATCTCTAATGGCTACCATATCTAATATGAAGGAACGGGCTCGATAACTTCACCTAAATATTCTATTTCCTAACTTTTTTTTTTTTTCTTTTTCTCTCTTTAATCTACGTGTGTCTACTATGCTTCGCGTATGTTTATCCGCAGTGTCTCACTCTCCGTCGTCTCTTCGTTCGTTTCTTTTCTTTTTTTTTTTCTTCTTCTTCTGTCGCTGCTGCTGCTGCTGCTGCTGCTGCTGCTTTCTCGGACGCAGTCCTCTCCCTTCGTCATCTTCTGTACTTCCGTTCTACTACTACTCGCGATCTCTCGCGCACGCCTAACTGCGTTCTCACTCAACAGTGCACGAACCTGAACATTCTCAATTTTTATCGTCCACGCGACACACCCTCTTCTTTTTTTCGCTTGTGATTCCCTTTCACTCACTCTCTCTCTCGCACACACACACGCACACACAATCAGTGCTGCTCCTGTCTCGCTCGCGACTAAGGACTAAAAGTTTTAAACTAACACGTGTCGCTATACGCAAAAACTACTTCTCACCGCTAATGTTCTAGCAACATGGACATTGTGTTTATTTCCTTCATTTGTCTCTCTCTCTCTTTCTTTCTTTCTTTCTCTCGTCCCCGTAGACTCGCCCCGTCGAGTTTTAAATCGTTCCAAAATATTCGTCTTCGCTTCTCTCTCTCACTCTCTCTCTCTCTTCACCGCACTAAGGAATAAGGATTATCAATTACATGTTCAATTATTTCGCTCGTTACCCGACGTTACGCCAATTCTCTCTCTCTCTCTCTCTCTCTCTCTCTTGCATGCACACGCGCACACTCTCTCCCTTTCTCACGCCGCGCTCTCAATTTTCTTCTCTCCCCGATCGTTTCGCGACTGCCGCCGATCTATCTATAATCTCTAGGTAAATAAGCGAGGGTAACGGGCTCGCGACTGGAAAAAAAATATTCGGTGGAGATTCGTTGCCAGGTGTCGCGGACGCGGGCCGACCGGAACTCGACTCTTCCCTCGAGGGGAGGGCGGAGGAGGAGGAGGAGGAGGAGGTAGAGGGGGTAGGGGGGGGGTGAAAAACGCGCAATAACGGGCACAACAACAACAGACACGGGGTCCCACGGACCACGGAGTCGAAAGCTAACACGGGATCGTTCGCTTCGAAGAGTCTCAAAGGCACGTCACTTTGTAGGTACCCGGTTTTCTTTTTTTTTTTTTTTGCCCCCTCTTTTCTTTTCTTTTCTTCTCTTTTCTTTTAAATATTTTGCATACTTCGCGTCGTTCCTCCTCACGCGACACACACAGGCAATGGACAGGCGATTTATTATCCTCTATCCTCAGTTACACATTATTATCGTTATACCTTATCAATTTCCATTTGTTCGAACCCATTTAAACTCGTTAGACTCTTATCGATTAGCGGTTACTATTCTCTCTCTCTCTCTCTCTCTCTCTCTCTGTCATCTGTTTTTTTCACTTTAGTTAGTAGTGCTATTTCATTAGTAGTATCGTTAGCGTTATCATTATTCATACTGTTAGCGTTAAACGTTAATGTCTAAGATTAAACGTCGATTACCGTAAATCGTTATTAATATTATTGTTATTATTATTAGCGTATTAATGTTAATATCGTTATTATTATTACTATTACTATTATTACTATTATCGTTATTATTATTATTATTATTATTGTTATCGTTATTATCGTGATTCATTATTACGATTTTTTTTTTCTTCTTTTATCGGCTGCTGCTTCATTAGCTCGACTTTTAACCATCGTTCTCTCGTTGGTGTCTAGCCGGGTTACCGATATTGCGCGTTCTAGGGTCGCTCCAAGTTTCCTCTCGCCCGCGTCGGGATCAGCAAAGATCGTATACGAAGGGTACGTTTTTTTTTTCTCCCGGGATACAGTCTCGCGCTTTCCCAATAATAAGCTTCGCGAGATCGGGAGGAGAGTTTCCCCCCGTCCAGCCCGTGTATCTAATAATAAATTCGCTTTCGGTATTCTCTTTTTTTTTTTGTTTTTTTTTTTTTTTTGTTTTGTTTTTTTTTTGTTTTTTTTTTGGTTTTGTTTTGTTTTAGTTTTTTTTTTTTTTTTTTTTTTTTTTTGTTTTTTTTTTTTTTTTTTTTATTTTCTCTCGCGAGTTTGGTGAGCGAGGAATACTGTCAGCGAAGAATTACGATCCTGTTTCGCGTCTCTTGGCTGGCCAACGATGAATCACTACGGCGCGGCCACTTTATGACCGTTGAGGCGAGGAAATAAAACAGTCGTTCGGCCAGAAAGTGGGAAAGAGAGGCGACTTTGTGCACGGTGAATTCTTTCGCAACTCGCCCAGCGAATTTCCATTACACCACCTTTCTGATAAATATAAATTGCTCGACTTGCAATGCTTTTCTTTTTTTTTTGTTTTTCTTTTTTTTTTGCGAAGTTAATTTAGTTTTTAACTCTTCCTCGTTCTTCCTACGAATTCTTTCGTTGGCTGTACCTACGGAGAATAATCGATCAACTCCCTACAAATTCACTAAAAATATACTTTCCTGAATAAGTGTGTTTAACGTCTTCGCTCGCTGTTAGAGACACGTGCCTTTGTGCTCGTGACGGAGGAAAATCGAAGATAAGGAAATATTAATAAATTTTCTTCTTTGAGATGCAAAGACACACAAAACTTTAAAATGTAATTTAAAATGTAACTCTGTTGCAGTTAATTTGCATGTGAAATCATTTTAAGTTAGCTAGCAAAAAATTCACTAAATATACGGAAAGTTGCTGATTCGCCCTCGAACGTAAAGGGTTAACGCTAGAACTATGGGCGAGTAAAGCATAAAATTTGCAAGATTTGGGTTAAGATGCAAGGAACAGCAAAGAATTTACATGAATCGATATATTTTACTAAAAATCGTTACTAAAAGTCTCTGAAAATACTATATAAATTTATATGACAGTGAAATAATACTATATAAATTTATAATAATATACTATACTATATTATTACTATATTATATTAATTTATAATAATATACTATAATAATACTATATAAATTTATATGATAGCGACATAAAATTACAACAGTAATATATATTATGTATTATGTATTATTATAATATATATAATGTAATAATTAATATATTATATTATAATATATTATAACAGTAACATAAAATTATATTTATATTTATAAAATTTCGATGGGAAATTAATTAACAAACTGGCTTTATATTAA